TTTGATCAACGTTCTGCCAAAACGGTTACATTACCACTCTTCATTCTATCCTGGATCATTTATCTACTTAAACTCTTATCAAACTCCCGTTTTATCATAACTTCTGACTTGTTTACATTCCACTTGTCAAAATGTGTGCCATTTTTTGGAAAATTTGCTATGGCCTCATCACACCTGCTACTCACCTTAGCCCCCTCTCCTTATATCGGACACTCCGACTCGAGTCTCTTATCCGGATCTACCTCATGGTCCGGTAGATTCGTGTCTTATCTTTCTCTCTCAAAATTCTGGACTGAGAGGAGTATATCCTGGAATCACAAAGGATCCGGAGAGATTCGTTATTACGACTAATCAACTTGCCAATAAGGATAACCTATTTTACATTCAAGAGGACCATCTATGAACAAATATTTGGACTTCACAAGGGATCGCGGCTCACATCATTTTACAAACGTATACATGAACAAATTGGAAGATAACTTTAAGATGTCACCACTATAACCAGTAGCACTTATGCGGTACCTGGACGATTACTTTGCACCTTGATCACATGATAAAGAAAAACTGGACGATTTTCTGAGGTATATAAAGCAGATTGATGAAAAAATTGAATTCACGATGGAAGTAGAGGAAGGTGAGCAGTTACCTTTCCTAGATGTGACGCTCAAGAATAAATCGTTCAAAAAGAGGTCTTATGCTGGGATAATACTCAATGTACAGTCCCACCACAACTACATGCTAAAGATAGGAATAATGTAGAGCATGATCATCAGAAGCCTGCGTTTAACGGATATGAAATTATGGAATGAAGAATTGGACAAATTGGCCAGGATAAGCCTCGGCAATGGCTACTCAGACGAATTAATACAAACAAACATACGGGCCGGGAAAGGCCAATGACAGAACGGGCACTGCTAAAGAACAGTAAGGACGGCGAGGTATTCACAAAAGTAATGTATCTACCTTTTTTCAAACTAACTTAAAAACTACGGCTAATATTAAGAAGGTGGAATTTTCGGGTGTCCACGAAGGAAAAAACAGCACTCTTCATAAGTCTACCGACGCAACATGAAATAGTGGACAAATTGGATCTTTCAGGAGTTTATTGCATAGCATGCAGTGCCTACAAACAGAAATAAGTTGGGAAAGCAGGGAGAAAAATTAGCATATAAATAAAGGAACAACAAAGGCTCTGTAGGAAAATTGTTACCGAAAGACCAGAATTAGCTAATCACATCGCACAGACTGGACACGAGATAAATTGGAAGGCAATTAAAAGAAGGGCCTCGTACGGTGAAAACGCAAGGAAGCGGAAGATTTGGGAGGCCCTTGACATACTTGGGTGAAAAATCAAATCGACAGGAGATTGGAGGCAGGCAGAGTTACCGATAATTTTGCCTAATACTTAAGCAAACTCGGGGAAAACAAGAATATAACAAGACCAGCAAAAAGGAGGTGCCTGGATCAAGGACCTATCGGTAACTGGAGGAAAAGAGATCACAAAGAGAACGTTGGTCAAAGGATTGACTTCACTTGTCTATTTGACGAGTTTGTAGCTTGTTTTGGTGAATAGCAAGACTTACTAATGATGCTTGCGTAGCGTCTGAGAATATACCAAGCCAACGGCCTAGCTGGGAATTATGTTTACTACTATGGACAAGGTGTTTCCAACTAAGCTCCTCTGATAGCAAGATCAAGT